AGCCTTGAGGAAACCCCTCTTATGCTCTACCACAACAGAGCGCTCGGTCTCCTCGAGTTTCCTCTCCAGCCCCGCTTTGGCCTCCTCCAGCTTCGCGAGGTCCACCCTCAAAGCGACATTCTCCTCCACTTGGCCGCCAAGAACCACCTCGTCGCAAAGACGTTTCTTGGCCGCCGCCACCAGCTCGGCCTTTTGCGCAGTGACTTCATCCTCTAAGGCACGCATACGAGCTCGGGAGGAACTGGAGAGCTCCTGCAAGTCGCGAACTTGAGTAGCATAGGTCTCGTTCGACCGCAGGGAAATCTCCAGAGACTTCCTAAGCCTCTCCACCTCCATCCGAGTAGCTTGAAGCTCGGCTTCGTTACGCAGCTTAGCCTCCCCGAGAGTACCTGCCAAGGCCCGGTTCTCGTCCTTCAAAGCTTTGCTCCCATCCCTTAGGGCCTTGGCTTCTTCCTTCAAGGGCTTAACTCGACCCTTCAGCCTGGCCAGGTCCTTCTGCTGCTTGGACCACTTGTGCTTCCAGTGATCCACAATAGCCATAGTCCTCTGAAGGAAGACTTTAGCAGCGTCAAAGCCTTCCATAGGCCCGACCTCCTCGATCATCCCCTGATCCTCTGAGCTCAGCGTGCCCTCGGGGAAGAATCTTTCGGTAGTCACCCCAGCGCTCCACAGCGAGTTCATGACGGCTGAGGCGCTCACATGGTCCAAGCGCACATCAGAGCGACCCTCCCGAACCGGTGAGCAATATATCGGCTCTAGGAAGCCCCTGTGATGGCCTTGACGATGGTGCAGAGGCCACAGGCGTAGTCGGAGGGACCTCGGAACTTGGCCCCTTGCCGCAAGCTGTAACAGAAGCAGAAGCCGACGTCCCCCGCTCGGCAACAGGGGGTCCACGTCTGGCACCTCCGACCTCGGAAAACCAACCTCATATCAAGAAACAAGAATCTAACATACAGGATAGAGGGAAAAGCGAAAAGCGAGATACTCACCTTGGCAGCTTGGGCAACCTGCTCAGCAACCAGGACCTCCACCTCGGCAGCTACCCCAGCCTGCAAAGAGAGACAACACCTCAACAAACCAAGCCAAATCAACATAGAAAATAAATTAATGCACAAAACACCTACCTCGGCAGAGGGAACAGCTTGCTCAGAAGCCCCTGCAACAGCCACTTGGGGAACCTCCCCAGGCAGAGGGCTCCCAGTGAGATCGACTGCATCGGCATATGCAGCCACAAGCCATGGTCGAAGCCCCTGTTTTACAACTTCCTGATTTTTCTCAAGAATTTATTGTTGAGACTGATGCTTCTAATGATGGAGTTGGGGCTGTTTTAATGCAAAAAGGTCATCCTATTGCTTATTTTAGCAAGAAATTGAGTCCTCGTCTCCAAGCCTCCTCTGTTTATGTCAAGGAATTACATGCAATCGTTGAAGCTGTGCTTAAGTGGCGTCAATGTTTGCTAGGTTCCTTATTTGTGATTCACACTGATCATAAAAGTATCAAGGAACTTTTGCAACAAGTGATTCAAACCCCGGATCAACAAGATTATGTGAGAAAACTTATGGGTTTCACTTTTCGCATTGAGTACAAATCAGGTAGCTCTAATAGTGTTGCAGATGCTCTTTCGAGGGTCCGCGGAGCTGTTTGATGTTCTTGGGAGGAGGCCACTGCACCATGGCTTCAATCTTCTTAGGATCAGCATGAACATCTATAGAAAAGACAATGTGGCCCAAGTATTCGATGGAATGCTTGCAAAACAAACACTTAGAGAGCTTAGCGTAGAATTTATGTGAGTATAAACGATGCAAAACCAGCTCTAAATGTTGAAGATGATCATCCAAAGAAGAACTATATATCAAAATATCGTCGAAGAAAACAATGACAAACCTTCGAAGATAAGATGAAAATAGTTGGTTCATGGTCGCCTGAAATGTCGATGGGGCATTTGTTAAGCCAAAAGGCATAACAAGAAACTACCACTAGGAGTATCATGAAATTCATTGATGAGCATTGTGCATAAGGATGAGGTAGGACTAATTACATATCTACCATGGAACATCAACAACCCCTGCCTTACGGAATAAGGAAAAAATAGATTTCCATTTTGATGTTTGAAATGGAATGATTGAAGAAAAGGGTCAGTGAGATTCTCTTGCTTTAGTTGGTCAATAAGTTGGAAGACAGGACCAAAAACTAAGGCAAGAAAAACTGAAGGTAGAGTAGTTGCATTATCGTCCTTGGTAGTAGGGACCCTCGAAAGAGCATCTGCAACACTATTAGAGCTACCTGATTTGTACTCAATGCGAAAAGTGAAACCCATAAGTTTTCTCACATAATCTTGTTGATCCGGGGTTTGAATCACTTGTTGCAAAAGTTCCTTGATACTTTTATGATCAGTGTGAATCACAAATAAGGAACCTAGCAAACATTGACGCCACTTAAGCACAGCTTCAACGATTGCATGTAATTCCTTGACATAAACAGAGGAGGCTTGGAGACGAGGACTCAATTTCTTGCTAAAATAAGCAATAGGATGACCTTTTTGCATTAAAACAGCCCCAACTCCATCATTAGAAGCATCAGTCTCAACAATAAATTCTTGAGAAAAATCAGGAAGTTGTAAAACAGGGGCTTCGACCATGGCTTGTTTGAGAGCTGCAAAAGCCGAATCTGCAACAGCACTCCATTCAAAGGCATCTTTACGCAAAAGGTCTGTAAGAGGGGAAGCAATTAAGGCCTATTTAGCCACAAATCAACGATAATATCTTGTGAGTCCTAAAAAATCGCGGAGCTGTTTGATGTTCTTGGGAGGAGGCCACTGCACCATGGCTTCAATCTTCTTAGGATCAGCATGAACATCTATAGAAAAGACAATGTGGCCCAAGTATTCGATGGAATGCTTGCAAAACAAACACTTAGAGAGCTTAGCGTAGAATTTATGTGAGTATAAACGATGCAAAACCAGCTCTAAATGTTGAAGATGATCATCCAAAGAAGAACTATATATCAAAATATCGTCGAAGAAAACAATGACAAACCTTCGAAGATAAGATGAAAATAGTTGGTTCATGGTCGCCTGAAATGTCGATGGGGCATTTGTTAAGCCAAAAGGCATAACAAGAAACTCAAAGTGGCCATCATGAGTACGAAATGCAATCTTGTATACGTCTTTAGAGTGTCGTTTCAAGCGTCTCCCTCCAGAACGGCCTGTTCTCAACTACAAGTTACAGGTCAATTTAATAGCTTGGAACGGCCCGTTCCAAATTGGGAACGGCCCGTTCCAAATTGGGAACGACCCATTCTAGGCTAGTAAATCACCTATATTGGGCTTTTTAAAATAACTTGCTACATTACAATTTTATGATTATCTATCAATTTGAATTAATGAAATGAAGTATCAACTGATTTTCAAATTTTTAAAAAATTTGCAAATTTGATCTATGCATTAAGAACTTTAAATTGAGTGGTTGGATCGTTGAAATTTGATATAAAACATGAGTTATTGAATGGAGTAAGTCTAGGTAGATTTACTCCTGGAGTAAAATGATCCTTCCTGATGTATATAGTGACGGATCTAGAAATTTTAGATAGTGGGGGCACTATTTATTTATATATTTGTAGTATTAAAAATTTATGTATAACTTTTAAAGGTATAAATATATATCAATTAATTTTCACAAGCTTTTTATATCTACGATTACAATTAAAAATGAAAATAAATTAGCTTACACTAAATTTTATTATAATTTAGTAGGTTTGAATCTAACTTTCTTTAAAAAATATATATCCTAAGTATGACTTATTTATCTATTATAGATATTTTTAAATGTTTGGGTAGAATTACAATCATAAAGACTTATTTTATAATAATTTAGCACTATTAAAATTATAAAAATAAATATGTTAAATTTTATAAAAATCAATAATTTATTTATGATATAAACATGTTTTTAATATCTAATATATATTTTTAGATAATAATTTATTTTAAAATATATTTTATAATAACAATTCTAAATGAAATTTAAATTTTTTGATTTTTCTTATTTTGATTTTTTTAATCAACGTATACAACTTTACTATTTTGATTTTTTTAATCAACATATACAATAAATAGAAAACACAAAAAGTAAACATGTATATTGCAAATTTTATTTTATAAAAAATATTTTA